TCTTTACAACGGCGGAAACAAAATTTGGAACATGAAGGGAGATCAGGGAGACTCATGGAAAAGGGCGGAAGTGACCATCACTGGTGATTATGACGTAAGTTGAGCGTAGAAACTGGTTGATCTCTGGTCGGGCTTTTGTGCTAACTGTGCCTCGACTCAGGCACAAGTAAGTTGTTCGGTCGTACTGACGAAATACTGCAAATTAACTTACGATAGCTATAGTACGTTCTTTAATAGTTGAATATGACAATAGTGACATCGATTCAGTCTCGATCCATGAGCTTGATCGAAGATCAAGTAAAATCTGTTGCGATGGAATTTTGTAAATCACTTGATTTTTTCCTGAACATCGTTTGTTATCCTTTACTTCTGTTTCTGCCATAATCCATGTGTGACAACTTATGATTGTTGGCAACGTCTCGATCAATTTACTTCTGACAAAATATTGACGGAAGGAAGTAACATGTATAATAATTTTCCTATTTAGCTTAAAATTGAAGGAGTTTCAGGGGACTCCTATCAGGCTGACATTGCCATTGATGACATAACTATACAAGATGGTTCCTGCGGAGGAGTTCCCCCTTCACCGTCTCTTCCCCCTATCCCACCGACAACACAGGGACCAGGTAAGGAATATCATATTGCGAAAATACCTAGATTTGTCACTAGTTTGCAAAAAAAAAAAGAGGTGACAAAGATCTTGTTTCTAATCGTTTGGGATTCTACGATTCTTTTACTTTGCAGTGTCACCCCAATCGTGCGGTAAATCACCAGTATCGAGGGTTATTGGAGGAGTGAACGCAAATCCAGGGAGTTGGCCGTGGCAGGTACGGCTGTTTCTTGATAATTATTCATTTATATTCCTATAACTCAAGAACTAATTTCATGACCTCAATTTTCAAGCGTCAAAATCAGCTATCAGTTTTTATTTTTATTTTTTAATTAAAGCTGGCTACAATTATTTTTGAAAACTTTGCGGATAAAATGAGCCTTGATATCCTGAATGCAACTCGAGAATAACACATGAGGTCACCGACTTCCTTCTCTATGTTTTTATTTCGTTTAAGTTACAGATGCAGCAAATTAGATTACGGGTGCTTTTACGGGTTCTTCTTAATTTTTAGGAATTTTTTCTCCTTTCAGATTGCTTTGTTAAGAGGAAGTGGTAGATCATTCAGTTGTGGCGGATCATTGATAACTCCTGAATGGGTGGTCACAGCAGCTCATTGCATCTCAAGAGGACAGTAAGTACATTTGTATTTTATATTGACACTTTCGCACCATTTTCGTAAGGCAAAGAGCGTTACCCTGACAAACTATAATTAAATGCTGCTTTTGTTGTGATAGCTTTTCAGTCTATTGACTTAAGAAAGCCGCAGTACCCACTCGACCGATAACGATTAGAATTTCGAACCAAGCGGGTCTTGATAACTCGCGTTGAACACCGTTGAGGCCATCGGATATTTTTGTAAATTTGGATCGAGAGTTGTAATCAAGTACTGAAAATTCTGTATTATCGAGCACTCGTTTCTCCGAAATACATGTGTAGTTTGACCCTTTGTTACGCACTCATTCTATCTTCGCAAATAATTCATTTCTTTAACGCTGACTTTGTTACAGACCCGGTAGTTACTACACGATTCGCCTCGGAGATCATAACCGTCATGTTAATGAGGGAACTGAAGAAGATATTCCTGCCAAACGTGTAATCGTACATCCTGACTACAACAAAATTCCCATCGACAGCGACATCGCATTGATTCAGTTAACTAAACCAGCTACCTTGAATGCCAGAGTAAAAACTGTATGTCTGCCTTCCCAGGATGAAGTTGTTCCCACGTCTTCTAGATGCTTTATCACGGGTTTGTTTAGTTCAACTTATTATAATCGATATGTTTCAATCGAGCATATTAAACCCTTGCCATCTAGAACCTCAAAGGAATAGTTTTGAGAGTGCGTATGGCTCAAAAACCACGTCAAATAGGATCAATTTTAGCCAATAAGGCTTGTCAATGATTCAAAAGTTTGAAATCAAAGCATACTTTACCTTTATTGCAATTAAGAATCCTTCTGTGTTGAAAACGAGGTATCAACGCCCCGCACTAATGTTAATGTGGATTCTCGACAAAAGCTAACAACATTATTAACTAAGGTTTCCTTCAGGGAAACAGAAGTTTACCACGAAGAGTTTTCTACCGAAATTTTCAAGATATAATTGGTGAATTTTACATTACTACGTTACCATGATTCCGCGGGAAACGGGCATCGAAGTGACTGAAGTATGCCAGGCATAAGATAAAGTGATTAAACCTTCACAATTTTATTGGTAATTTAATTTCTTCTATTTCACCCTTGTTCACTATTTTTCTGATAAAATGTCCGTTGCACAGGTTGGGGCAAGATTAAGCATCCCGGGTCCTCACATCACATACTGCAACAGGCGAATTTACCTCCCGTCACAAACAGCGAGTGTGCTAAGAAACTTGCCAGCTCTCCAGGTAAAACCTCTAGATGGTGTCTTTCTGATAAGTTTAAAATGTTTCCTTATCACTACGTAAGAAAGATGCATGGATTAATTGCGTTTGCATGATTGCAGCCTTTACGTATCGAAATTAGTGATTGGTTCAAGAGGATTAACATAACTCTAGATTTTTTGAAACCATCATTGTTTATATCTTTAGGAGGCTCGTCTCTTCAAATAACTCAAAAGATGATTTGCGCTGGCGTCAATGGAACTATTTTAAGTGGCTGCCATGGAGACAGTGGTGGTCCTTACGTTTGTCAGACTTCCGCTGGGAACTGGGTTCTGCAAGGTGCTGTCAGCTGGGGTTCCCCAAGATGCTCTGCGGCCGAGCGATATACGGTGTTTGCTCGTGTTGGCAAGTTCAGAAATTGGATCGATCAGATGATGAGCACTTGACTTACTACTTAAGGATAATGTTAATCTCAAATGAATAAACTTCCAGAAATAGTTGAATATCGACTTCTTATGTCATCTTTGTTATTAAGGGCTTGATTGAGAAAAGTTGCCGTTTTGCCTGTTTGAGAAGCTTTGTTAAAAACAGCAATCTACATTATTATTTTGAATTATATTCCTGTACATTCATCAGGGAGATTCTTATCAACTCAATTAATGATAAGTTTGTTATTAGCTAACTACTTTTTTAATATATAGAATGTGAAAGATTGGCAATTTTGAGCTCGGTAAAGAAAAAGAGATATATTTAGCGTCTTTTCACGAGCGTCCAAAGAGTTACAAAGAAAAAAATTTTGATTCCTCCCGAGGAATTTAACCTCAAACCTCAGGATTCCGCGCTCCGATGCTCTACCACTAAGCCGTGGAGACTCTATGGTGAGGAAGGCCATTACGAAGTTTATAGGGACCCACCAAAAAAGACGAGAAACATCTTTCTCTAAATTTGTTTATAAGTGAAAACCCAAGAGAAAAAAAAAGATATTATAGGCAAACGCTGATTTTCTTCAAAGTAAATCATATCTTAAAAAGTTACTGCTATTTAAAGTTTGTAGAAACAGCTGGGGTCTGTGCCAAAACATAGATTTTTTTTTCCCAAAAGCACTTAAAATGCTTTCTGAACATTTGATTGCGGTAGCATTGAATATATCAATAACAATATCGATCATTTCATCCTCCCATTATTTCATCCTGTTACATTCGTTCCGTTGACAATGTGTAGTAAAAGGAAACGATGATGCAATTTACATACAATCTATCTTGAAAAAACTTCCCCGTTTCTAGCAATGCTGCCATATGTTTCCTTTCCAGCATTACGTTCCGTGCTCGGCCTTTTATATTGTTTATAACACTTTTGTGATTGCAGAGGGGAGAGGGTGGGAGGAAATGCAAATAGATCGAACCAAAATGTGCTTCTGAAACAGCTTTCTTCTTCGAAATCCTAATTTTTGGTATTCATATCAGCTTTTTGCAAAGCCGGTTCGACGAGGTACTGACGAAATTTCATGCCAAAAATTATTTGTAAGTATGCTGTATGTGCTTCTCTAGAACGATCTTCCACAATTAAAAAATTTTGTCTTAAACGGGTAAAATGAAAAGGAACGGATTTTTCTGTTATAAGTAGTTTGGGACTAGTTAAATGCACAATCAAGTAACTTTACTCTGCAAACATTAAGAACTGAAATGTTGTGCTCGCTGTTTAATCAATAAGTAAATACGATTAAAAACCCAACTAAAATGTTCTAACGATAATGATGTTTGCGTAACTTATCTGACAGCCTTTAAAAGTAGAATTTCGAAAAACAACAATGGACCGAGGAAATGACATGAAATATGAATATTAAAAACGCTTGAGGCTGCCAGTGGTGTTTTATCGAAATTTGGAAATTGTACATTTTACAGTTTTCTCTACCATGTTTAAGGTCTATTTCTAAAGTTCTTTTAATAGTTACAACAAACATTTAATTCATTAGTAAACACTAAAAGCTCGCGCGGGACTTGCGCCCAAAAAAGATCGTAATCGTTGCTGGAATAAACGAGTTAAAATCATATTTTGTATACCTACACTAGTATTCACCTCAGTGGAGGTGACTAGGGGTGGATATTTCCCTAACCGCTTTATGGCTCAGTAATTATCCGCCACTACCCATCTCCACTTCGTTGAACAGATGTTGATTACCTATTGAAATCTTCATTGTGTGTACTTAAAGAACGCCGTCTGTTCCTACTTTGCAATCGCTAAAAGTTCAAATGACACGAGTAGTACTCGCTTGTTTGAAAACTAATTAAAAACTGTTTATAATGAATGTACTCCAAGTACTCTTTAGGAAGCAATGCTTACGCCTTATCACTAAGCATCCCATAGATTTTGCTAATTGTAAAGATCATCCCGTCAAATGTGTAAGAATGCTTGAATAAGTATTTTCTCTCGAGAGTGTCTTTCTTGCGCCTTGTTTGAAATAAGTATTCTCGCTTTTTAAGTCTAAATTTAATACGTTATGAAAAATAATAAAGTTTTTCTTAAATTTGTTACGTTCAAACAAGAAATAACTGATATTTCAAAGCTTTTTAATCCAAACTTTATCAAACATCAAGGAAGTATCGGAGATCGTGAAATTATGAATAAATTTGAAACCACTTTAACTTAAAAGGTTTGCTTAAAAAAATTTTAAAAAAGGCTTGTTTATTCAAAAAACGATTGTGTAAACAACTTTTTTCTTTTATGTTTCCATACTATGATAGGAGGCTGAATAGGGAACGTGGGTAGTAGAGATGCGCGAAGGTAACATGGTAGAGCAGCGATGGAATGAATATCTGATGATGGAATAATATCCCCCAGCATTTTTGGAGCATCCGATAGTTTTATGACTAAGTGAATCAAGTTTATTGAACCTTCTGTGCAAACGTATGTTTTTCCCTCTCTAAAACATTTAAAATCTTCATAAAACATTAAATATGAGTTGTAAACAAATTTTAGTTAATGTATTCAGGTTTGACATTGCGTTAAGTGAGTTTTTTCAGCTTTGATTTACTCTAAATAGAATCTTTATATATTTCACACCCATACGCAACACACACCTACAGTTTCTTTTACAGAGGCTGCAAGATGATACTCTTGATTTTGTTAAATCTGCTAGCATTTTCACTCGCTCAAGGTATCCAGAAAAGTGAATCAGACGGGATAAGCACAAATTTATTACTTTACTGTTTTTCCTTCTTCTAACTTCTTCTACCTTTTTTGTTTCTATGCTTTAATCACTCGATGAAAAGATTGCAGTTTTGAGCAAGGAACCTGTGGATGGAAAAACGATCCCTCAAGCCGTCTGAAATGGCTTCGACGTCAAGGAGACACCCCTCAAGGGAAAGGTGGGTTTTAGCCATTTGAAAATTTCCTTATCTAATAGCTAAACGATCTAATAAGTGTATAATATGATTATTTCTGCACTGAATGATTTTGAGATCGTGCCAGGATGGGAGAAAAGGTTGAAAGCAAAAAGTTAAGCAACAATCAAAATTGTTTTCTCTCGGGTTCATCACCATCTAAATATAATGCTGTCTCTAGACTCACCTATCATGGCAATTTTGCCCTCCCGAACTTAGCCCCGACTGTCCTTTTCCTTTACTTTTAATTTTTCTCACACAGCGGCAATTTCGAGTCTCACCTTAATTGAAGATTGTCTGTGAAACCCTTTTTTAAAATATGGATGTTCCGAAAAAAAACCAGAAATACGTTCTGTTTATTGAATTCTTCATACTCGCGCCTTAGCAAACAAGTGAGACAACAGCATTTTCAACCTTACCCAAAGAGTGACATGGTTCAACATTGAATTGACCCAAATATACGCAAATGTCTTTAGAATACTTAAATCTTTATCATTTTAATACAGGTCACTATATGCTGCTTGGGAAAGGCAAAAAAAACTTTGAGGCTGGTCTCCTTTTTAAGACCTCAATTATGGATAAATGTCTCTCCTTTTCGTATAAAATTGAGGGAGCAAAAGGTAGTGCAATTGAAGTGTACGTCGACGGTCGCCACTTTGAAGATCTGAAAGCTACAAAAGATGGGAAATGGCACAAAGCAACATTTACCATCAATAAAGTAAACAAGAAGGTAGGCTGTAATTTGTGTTTGTATCCTTCGGTCCCCTTTTCCTTTTTTCATAATCTGAGAGCATTGACAGTATTAGAATAAAGAATAAAAAGAAATTTGAGGTCTCATGACCAACCAAGCAATCCACCGAAACATCGTAAATGAGCTATTTATTGTTAGGGCATCTATAAAAAAAATTAATAAAAGATATCAATTTGTTATTTATGATACATTCTTCTTCTCTTCAATACTTTACTTTGTACACGTGTTTGCTTGTTTTGTGTTGAATGGAAACAGATCGTGGTATATGGTGTGAGAGGGAAAAAGAAAGATTCCATAGCCATCGATGACATAATGCTTTCGGATAATTGCGGACCCAGTCCCCCAGCGACAGGCCAACCAACACCTCCACCACCAAACACTCCTTCAGTACCTGGGACGTCCCCGCCTGGTAAAGAAAATAATGTTTTTTTCAACATATTCCTTAATTACAGGCGAAACCAGAAATGTTGCCAGTAATGATTCGGTTCATTTAGAAACGCTTGAAAATGATGAAAACTAAGTAGAAGGAGGGAACACTTGCAGCGCTCAAACAGATGAAACTAATCTTGATCTAACCCTAAGCAGTTTCTGCTAATATGTGAATAGAACATAAGATGCAAAGTAAATAGCTGGACGAATAGGCACTTTAGATAAATCTTTTTTCAATGAGCATTAGGTTTCTCGTGTCTACCACGAAA